ACCAAGGGCTCCAGCCTCTCACTGAAAAGACATCTGCAGGTGTCCAGCTTCTGAGTTGTACCGTGCTGCATATATGACTACCCCAGGGCCTGGCCCATCTGCTAGGACCCCTCCATGGCCTGCCCATCTGTTCCCTCCCCTTATCTATCTCTTATTTCCTACAGAGATTGCCCTCTCACTTCTGGAGAAGATGCAGACCCAGGAGATCCTGAGGATCCTGAGGCTGCCCGAGCTAGGGGACTTGGGCCAGTTTTTCCGCAGCCTCTCAGCCACCACCCTCGTGAGTATGGGTGCCCTGCCTGCCATCCTCGCCTACTGGCTCACTCACCGGCCAAAGGCCTTGCAACCGCCATGTAACCTCCTGATGCAGTCAGAAGAAGTAGAGGTGAGCAGAGCGGGAACCGACCCATCATACAAAGTAGCTCCAGAGGCTAGAAGTCAAACCTGTAGCTTATTTGACCCCAAGTGGTCCAAAGAATCCCTGGTAACCAGCCAATATGACTCTGTAGCAGCCTTGTGCAAGATCTCCAGCAAGATGGTCCTTGAACCCCTGCAACATCAAAGGAGGTGCTGGTACCACTAGACCCATGTAGCACTTTGAGTCCTTCCTACCTTAGCCTTGTTTATTTCCCTCTTCCCATCCGTTTGATACTTAAACATTTTTCTCTGCTCCATTAACTGTATGGACCATAGCCAGAGTCTGACCTTGACCACTGGACAGGCTAAGCAGGCCTTCAGGGACTGCAGGGTAAATTCACTCCCAAGTTCTTGTCCCCAGTCATGGCTGATGGGAACCAGAGCTGAGCCCATCCCAGGGACTTGCCCCTTCATAGACACCCAGCAGCAAAAAAAAGAAGATACGCTGGCTTGCCAACAAGGGACTCATGAGATTTGTTTCTCCAAACTTATGGTTATGGATTTTGTTGTTTGGGGTTTTTTTAAGATTTATTAATTTTTATGTGCATTGGTGTTTTGCCTGCATGTATGTCTGTGTGAAGGTGCCAGAGCCCCTGGAACTGGAGTTAAAGACAATTGTGAGTTGCCATGTGGTACTGGAAATTGAACCCAGGTCCTCTGGAAGAGCAACCAGTGCTCTTTAACCATAGCCATCTTTTCAGCCCTTGGGATTTTTTGTTTTGTTTTGTTTGGGTTTTTTTTTTTTTTGGTTTTGCTTTTTTTTTTCTTTTAATTCTGCCTGTATTCTAAGATCTAGTGTACATTTTTCTTGAATAGTATATTCATGTTATTCCTAAGAAACAAAAGGCCACATGCTGAGAAACTTCTGCCTCCTGCTGCTGAGCTTTGGTTTCTGATAGAAGATCTGGGGTGGGTGGGTGGGTGGGTTGGTTTGTTAGTTGGTTGGTTGGTTGGTTTTCCCTAGACAAGGCAGAATGTAGCCTAGACTAGCCTCAACCCCCTAATCCTCCTGCCTCTGCTTCCCCAAGTGCTAGCGTTACAGGTGTTTATCACCACACCCAGCTCCCCAGTTTCAAATGAGATCATGTTACATACACTTGTGCACCTCACTTTGTTCTTGATAATACATCTTGGTGGGCACAAACCTGGCAATATTTTTCCAGCTGGGAAGGGCCCAGATCCTTCTCTAACAGGGGTCTGGATTCTCAGGCTATCTCCCTAGTAGAAGGAGTGGAGTAGGCAAAGGCCCGGGTATGCTTGAAAGTGTGTGGCATTGGGAAGTGGTAGTTTGTGTTTGGTGCTGGGCAGCTGGAAAAGGGCTGGAAAAGGCCATCAGGATGGTGATGAGAATGGAGGACAGAAATCCTAGGCTAGTGGCCTGGAAGTGCCTTCCTGAGCTATGTGGTTCTTGGCTCTGAGCCACCATGTCACTGAGTCCTCGTTTATAAATTGGGTACTCCAAAGAGCACCAAAGGGTTGGTAGGGTGGTGCAGAGAAATCATTAAGAATAGTTGGGCTTTGGTTCAGCTTATAATTACAGGTCACCTGGTCAGAACTTAGAGCCCCTCAGGATGAACATCATGAGTCTATTGGGGCTTTTCAGTGGAGAGCTGTGGCTAGTTTGTGCCATAGAAGGGTGGTGGCTGCAGAGCAGTTATGAGGAGGCAGCTTTGAGCACCTAGGTTGGGTGATAGAAGCCTGGTGGGGCTCAGAGTAGTAGTCTGTAAATCTATAGGATGGGTGACTATGTGAGTCTCACTGAAAGGACAGGGCATGGGAAAAAGCTAAGGCCACCCTTTCAGGGAAGACCTCTCTGTCCCTGTCCCTCAGGGACATATGAGTGGTTGTGTGAAGAAGTAAAAGCAACAGGGGCAAGAAATGAGGTGAGGGAGGCAAGCACTGTGGTACTGCTTGGGACACAGATAATTGGCTATTTCGTGTCCCCAGCTTAAAACCCTTCTCTGGTTGGCTACTGCCCTCACTCAGAGTCTCTCCCCCACCCCTGGGTCTGTGGCCCTCTCTAGACTGCTGGCATCTCATGTTCATCTAGAGTTCCACAGATTACCCATAGTTCTCCAGCACACTGTGCTCCTGTACCGTAATTGTATGCTTGCTACTGCCTGCTGTACATTCTACCTGGCCAAGCCCTGTGTATCCATCAGACTCCAGCCAAAACACAAGCACCACCCCCTCCCTCAGTCCCCAGCACAGTGTCTTGTAGTGTCCATATCTGCTGCCTGGGTGTGAAGTGGGTCCAACTGCCTGTACCCCCAACTTCCCACATTGGTCTTTCTCGGGCAGAACTGGCCAAGAAGAACTTTCCACTCCAAACAGCTGAGAGCTGCCTGTGGTTTTGCTTTTGGCTGTTTGCTCTGTGGTGCTAATTTTTTCTCTAGACTCAATGTTCCAAGAACTAGCCGGCTCTGGGCCATCCCAGGATAACCCAAATAGCACCGAGAGATCAGGCAGAGCTGTGATACAGAAACTCTCTGGACTTGGGGGCCCTGGGGAGGTGGAAGGCAGATGCCCAACTCCTGTCCCTGGCCCCATCACAGAAAGCCTTCCCTTTGTCCCCCTCTGGATCAGCATTGTTGAGGGTCCAGGATCCTGCTGCTTGGTCTGCCCTTCCTTCACATACTCTTAGGCTTCAGTCCTGGGAAATCACCTTAGAGCACAATCTTCAGAAATCCATGCTAGCATGCCAGTGATGGAGGCCAACCTTACCTCAAGTCTATGCACAGCTGACCTAGGGCATAGCAGTGGATGGATGGTCAGGTGCAGAGTACCTTGGCAGGTTAATCCTGAATGTCAGTGGTACCAGACTCTGCTTCTATTGTGGAGTCACATTTCTAGTTCCTGAAAATTGTGGACATTCTGTGTATGCTGATCTGGTATTCAAAAACTATGTGCTTGTTGGGTGCGTGTGAGAGACACTTTTTTTTTTTTTTCCCCGAGACAGGGTTTCTCTGTATTGCTTTGGAGGTTGTCCTGGAACTCACTCTATAGACCAAGCTGGCCTTGAACTCACAGAGATCTGCCTGCCTCTGCCTCCCAAGTGCTGGGATTAAAGGCGTGCGCCACCAACACCAGCGTGTGAGACACTCTTAAACTGGGTCTGTATGCTGGAACTAGTTGAGTGTGGATGCATCCAGCCTGGGTGTGTATGCTCTGGTGTGAATAGGCCACAAATATGAGCACTTCCAAGCCTCAACTATGTGATTGAGGAATGCATCCAAGCTGTGTACACACCAGGGACCATTCCTGATGTCCCTGCCTGCCTCAGCCAACTTCTCTGGTGTGTTTGGCTTCTAGGACAGTGGTGGAGCCCGGCGATCTGTGATTGGGGGGAGCACTCAGTTGCTTACCCACTACTATGACGATGCCCGGACCATGTACCAGGTGTTCCGCCGTGGGCTTAGCATCTCAGGTGAGGAGGAGTATATGGAGATTTAGCATAGTACTAGGGACATAGCAATGCCCAGGTCAGCAGAGAGTCTCTGGTCTTTCCACCAGTTAGCAAGACTTACATGGCTCAGGCTGACTTCAACCTTTCACACTGATTTTCTGATGTCAGGCCTACTCTGTACACCCCTATGGGCAGTCCCTGGGGAGCCTACTGTTATAGCACACTGTCAACCTCAGTTTGAAACCTGCACCCCTGAGATGCCTCATAGTCCCAGGGTATGAGTCAAAGGGAGGCAGTCACAGAGGGCCATCCTGCTACCTTCTCCCAATGGCCTCCCCAGGTGTAAGTGCCCTTTTAGATCTCCCATAGGAACTGTCACATAAATCATAGTAGGGACTGGGTACAACCCTATCACACCCCTAGCTTCCCAAAATCGGGGGAGAAGCTGCTCTTGCATTCTTGTGACCTTCTTGGGCCACAACAGGTGAGATGAACTGCTTGAGGGCAGTTTCCTGGATCCAGAGGCACCTACAGCACATGACTTCCACCCTGTGCTTGGTGGACAGGGGCAGGAGGTGAGTCCACCTACTCCCTTCCCTGACACAAGGCCCACTTGTCTCTCTGCAGGGAATGGGCCCTGTCTTGGCTTCCGGAAGCCAGAGCAGCCTTACCGGTGGCTTTCCTACCAAGAGGTGAGTGAGCACACAGGCCCCACCTGTCCAGCCCTGCAGACCTGGTGCCCTGTTGGGTTGGGGAAGGCTTAGGAGTACCAGCTAGGTTCCAGGGACCTCCTTTCTGAAAATTGAAAAGTTTTTTTTTTTTTTTACATATTTTTGGAACATAATATGAAAATAGAACAGTGTGAATTCAATGACTGGTTTATCTGGACAGATATGAGAATCTGTTTAGTGACAGACAGTCAATTCAGATGTTATCTACGGTAAAAGGAAATCTTTCAAATGTGGTTAAAAAATCAAATGAAGCGATAAAGGTAAAATAAAACAGACTAAAATATACAAATACATGTTTGATATTAAAGAATTTTCTTATTCAAAATCTTTGGAGAATATGTATTATACTGAAAAATGTCCCCATTTGAAGCCTGATACACAATGTCTGAAAGGTCCTGTTTTTATTTTAATAGTTGTTTTTAAAAGCTTTGACAGTGTCGTGATGTATATAATGTGTCAAGTTGCTTTTGCCTCCCCTTACCTCATCTCATCCCACTGAACTCCTTCCTGACAAGCCCCACTCCTACCCTCCTGTCTGTTTGGTTTCATGACCAACTGAGTTTCAGTAGGCTTGTCTTCATGGGAATGGGTAGGGGATTAGTTACAGGAACACAAGCAACTTATCAGTGACTACACCAATGAAGAATATGACCCCACCCCCAGCCATTGACCTCAGACATCTCCCAGGAGATAGGTGGGGCTTCATGAACCCCTCAATATCCGTGATGTTGACAAGGGGGACCTCTTTTTATTGTCCCCCACCTTCCCACCCAATTCCTCTCATCAGTTTCAGAGGCTTTCTGTATTTCTGGGTGGGGAGCCCAGAAGTGCAGACAGACTAGTAGGAAAGCTGTGTGGACAAGCCCCATTGAAGTCTCCCCTTTTCTCCACCACCCCACCCCCACCCATCTGTGTGCAGGTGGCCAACAGGGCTGAATTTCTGGGGTCAGGCCTTCTCCAGCACGATTGTAAAGTGGGTACAGAGCAGTTCATTGGTGTTTTTGCACAGAATCGGCCAGAGGTGAGCATCAGTCTGACTGGTTTCAGAGGCATCAGTAGACTAGGGCTTGGAAGTCTTACCAGGTCCCCCCCTTGGTAAGGCCTGGGATCTGACAAAAAGTGGAAACCTAGGGTCATGGCACTACCACCTGCATCCCCAGATCTTCCCTGTAACAGGAATGGATGCCCTACCCACGCCCCATCCACACTGTACTTGGAGCCACAGGGGAGGAAAAGTCATGGTAAAGAGGCCAGTGCAGGGTCAGACAGTACATTTGGTCTGTTTGTACATGAAATCTAGAGGTTACACGCTAGCATAGCAAGCATGGTCTAGAGGTCTTTGGGCTAACCTCAGCACACACTGACTCACTGGACCTATCTTATCTCCTTTCTTCCCAACCCTAACTTTGAATTTCTGTAGTGGATCATTGCAGAGCTGGCCTGCTACACGTATTCCATGGTGGTGGTCCCACTCTATGACACACTGGGCCCAGGGGCTATTCGCTACATTATCAATACAGGTGAGCCCCCCACTTCCACTCCCTCGTGAATAAACAACCAGACCTCATCCTCCAGCCTCTTAAGTCATACTGATTGTTGGGGATTTCTAAAAGCATTTTACTTTGGTTCTCAGAAAACACTAAGGTATTAGCCAGACACAGTGTCTGAATGTCTGAAATCTCAACACTTGGAAAGTTGGAGGGGGAGGATCAAAAGTTCAAAGCCATCCTCCATTGCATAGTCAGTTGGAGACCAGCCAGAGCTATGTGAGACTCTATCTTACAATCTAAAAAACAAAACAGAACACTGAGGGCTTACATGATGGCCCCTGACTTGTCCTCTTCAGTCTAAACTGTCCTTATTCAGGCTTCCCCTAAAGCTGCCTTCCATAGCTCTGTGATGCCATGAGGGAACTTCTAAGAGGCCATGGCCATGTCAGGTTCCTGCAGCTTGGCGTCATCATTGCCGTGGTAGTAACATCCCAGGCAGACATGGGCTGATAGGAGCCATCTGAAGAAAAGCTGAACTATCTACTTCAGGATGCTTTTGCCTAAAAGGCCTTTGCCGATGACTCCTCCTAGTATTCATGGTACACATAATACACGACCCTCATAGCCTGTCTTACACACTTATTTACACACGAGCTGGCATAGTAGCCTGCATGACCTGCTCAGTCCCAGCCTGTACCTGCACCTGCTCAGCCTGACTCTCCCCCTTTGGCTCCTGCAGCGGACATCCGCACAGTGATCGTGGATAAACCTCAGAAGGCTATACTTCTGCTGGAGCATGTGGAGAGGAAGGAGACACTGGGGCTCAAGCTGATCATCCTCATGGAGCCATTTGAGGATGCCCTGAGAGAGAGAGGACAGAAATGTGGGGTGGACATCAAATCTATGAAGGCCATAGAGGTGAGAATCTGCATCTAAGATGTTTTCTGGGTTAGAGCAGGCTGGCTGCCAAGTCACAGCACTGGCCACCCACCCCCTCATGCCTTCTGGTGGTTGTTCTGGTCCCTTTGGATGCATCAGTGGCAAGACAAGTCAGGCTTTGCAAGGAATAGTGGAGGAAGACCTGGAGTCGGTGCTTATCGGTATCCTCTAGATTAAGACTCTGAGACTGGCCCAGTCAGTGGCCCCAGGCACCAACAGATGGGATGATAGTACTAGCCTAAGAGACACTTTCATGGTCCCTCAAACTTCCTTGTATGCAGTAGGTGTAAATGTGTGTGAACCACAGGAACTGGGTGGTCCAGGAACCTGGGAAGGTTCTTATCAATAGGACCCAGGCCCTCTCAGCAGCCAATAGAATTAATTATCTGTACATGGCCACCCCAGGGGCATCAGATTGGTGGCAGTGAATGGGCTAATAGAGTGATTCAAGGTATCCTGGCCTCCTGGGCCTCAGGTTTGCTCAATAGCTTTGACCTCTACCATGCTATATGAGATGGAGATCCCTAAGGCCTCCAGTTGTCCTCATGCCTCTGTCTGTCCTTCACTGTGCCCATGACCCTGTGTACTTGTAACCCTTTGTGATATTAGCCACACCTGCACTGGCAGCCTCTCTCCTTGCCTCTGCACTGCCCCCACCAGCACTGACTGTTCATCTAGAAGCCTGTGTATGTTCTCCAATATGTCCAAAATGAAGTGGTATGTGTATGGTACCTGGATTCTCCCTGAGTATCAGGCTGTCTTCTATAACATATGGGGCAGGACTGTGGGCCCTCAGCACCCTCCCTTTTTCTCAGGAGCCACAGGCTAGAATATATGGCATTTGTCACCATAGTCCATGTCCAGTCAGGGATCCTAAACTCTGGGCTTGGTGTAAGGGCAAGGCCTACTGTGGTGAGTGATTCCAACTTTTTAAATTTTATAATAACCTTTGAGCATTTTAAAAAATGGTCTTTTCTTTTTTTCAGGACTGTGGCCAAGAGAATCACCATGCCCCTGTGGTAAGCTAATCACCCATCAGGTATTGGTGAGCAAGATAATGCGTAAGACTGGTTCTTTTGGAGCCCCCTCACTGCACAGGGCTGGGTGGAGAAGCCAACAAGTACCTCCATGTTAATAAGCAGCTCCTGTGTGCAGCCTAGGAGTGCTTGCCCAGCTGCCCAACACTGCCATGGGCTGAGAGCCCAGGGAATGACTGAGGACAGGAGTCAGATGTTGGGAGAGAGACAAAAGGACATCCAGTCCTGGCCACCCTTGGCTTTTTTGTAACTTTTTAATGGGGAGGTCTTGTTTTCTCTTATTGCCCTTCAATGTTATGAACCCATGGAACATAAGATGAACAGAACCATCCAAGAACTAGAAGTGGACCTCATGGCCCAGGGGCTTTTGGCATCTGCTATTTTTTTGTTGTTTGTTTTGTTTTGTTTTGTTTTTGTTTTTAAGTGTGTATGCACTCCAAAGCCACAGGGAAACCCTGTCTCAGAAAAAAAAAAGTGTGTATGTGACTGTGTGTGTGTACATTCATTTGATATGTATACAAGTGTTTATGCAAGTGCATGGGAAAGCCCGGCATCAGCCTCAACTCATTTTCTTCAGGCACCAATCTTTGAGACAGGGCCTCACAACTGGCCTGGATCTTGTCATGTAGACAAGGCTGGCTGGCCAGGGAGCCCTTTCAGTCTGATGGTCTCTGCCCCCAAGCACTGAGATAATGAGCATGAGCTACCACTCTGGACTTTTCCTTGTTTGTCTTCACTCCTTGAACTTTTCTAGGTGCCATCCCATGTGGTCCTACCCAAGGTCAGGTAGCCATGACAGTTTCTGTCTTCTGAACTGGGCATTGAAGGCAGACGTTCAGGTTTCTCACAAGACCCCTAGCTTCTAGGCCCCCTCCTGCCTAGTCTTTCCCATTCCCTTGCCACTTCTGGTGAGCTTTCTCATACCCAGGCCAGAGGTCATAGCTCTGCTTCCTAGAGCCCTCCATGAATATCCTGAGTACTTTTATATCTCCCCCACACCAGACTCAGCCTCAGAGAACTGCTCCATGGTTCTTCAGCATGCCCTGTGTCTAGGCACCATGGGTTCTGTACCCACAAGTCCCTCCCAGAAATTCCCCTCATCTGGATAAATCTTGCTTGCTTTCACATATCACTTTAGGAATATGTTCCCTGTGCACACAGATTAAGTGGGCTCTTCCTAGTGACCTAGGGCCATGGGCCAGTGCTGCAGTGAGGGCCTGATGCAGAGGTTGGGATGTTTTAAACAGCTCAACAGCAAGCCATGCCTACTAGAAAGGAAGGGCCTTTGGCTTCTGCAGCCCAACCCCATGTAGAACTCTGCTCAGACTGGAACAGGTAAAAGGGACCAGGTGTGAGGTTGGTAGAACACATGTATATCCACTATGTACTATGCTTCTTTCTTTTTTCATGGGAACTTACCTGCCCATCTTTCCAACTGTAACACACAGGTGTATGTAACATGCCCAGCACACCATTCACTGTGGCTCATACATGGGGCTGGGTCATAAAGGGGTCCCACTGACTATGTCCAACATATGTCTCTTCTTGCTCCTGCAGCCCCCACGGCCTGATGACCTCTCTATTGTGTGTTTCACGAGTGGTACAACAGGTAAGTAGAGGTACAGATCACTAGCCAAGACTACTTGTCTCTGTTGCTGGCTGACTGGCAGGAGACTTCAGGAGTCTCTTGTGCCCTCTGTAGTATGGACTAAATCTGGTCCTGGTCCTGGTCCTGTTCAGCTACTGCTGTTGTCTCCCTTCTGCTTCTGCCATTGGCCATTTTGGGCAAGGCAGGACTGGCCAGATGTAGAAAGACAATGAGGGGACTCAGCACTTTAGGCAGCTGGTTCACAAACTCGAGATGGCCTCTGCTCATAGAGTCATTTCTTTATGAGAAATAGTTCTCCCCTCTGTTTACTGCTCCTGCCTGACCTTTGTGTCAGAGACCAGGGAAGGAGTATGAATTTAAAAATCCATCTCTACCATTGGATAGAGTACCAGGAATCAAACACTTAAGCCCTCTGCTGTCACTGTCCCCAAGTCCTCGCCTGGGAGGAGGTGTTTAAAGGTGCCAAATTAGATGTGGGATAGAATGTGCAAAGACAGCCATGGGTAAGTGTGCCAGGAAGAAGATGTGAGCAGAAATGACTGGGCCTGGTGCTGACCAAGCAGTATACCAGCAAGAAGAATCTGGAAACCCTTCCTGGAGAAGGTACAGTTGCAGCATTTTGCAGTCTACAGAGCCCTGTCCCTGCTTTCACTGTGCCCCTCAGCACGGTCTGTGAGGCTAGCAGACTTGACAGCAAACCAGTTCCAAGAGATACATGGAGACCCCGGGACCAGCCTCCTGTCCTTTGAACTGCCCTCCTGGGGCCCTTCTCATTGCTGCCTCGCTCATCTGATGATTTAGGAAAAGTCTTAGTTACTTCTCTGTTGCTGTGATAAAACACCATGACCAAGGCAATTTATAGAAGGAAGGGCTTCTTTAGGTTTGTGGTTCCAAAGAGTTAGAGTCCATGATGGTAGAGACAAGGCAACAGGTAATAGACATGGCAAACTGGAGCTAGCATCTGAGGTCTGAAGCTCACACCTCAAATTGCAATCAAGAAGCAGGGAAAGTGAACTAGTGATTGGCATGAGTCTTTAAACTCTCAAAGCCTGCCCCCAGTGACATACTTCGTCCAGCAAGGCCATACCTACCAAACAGTCCCACCAGAGCAACCAGTTGGGGAACAAGTATTTAAGTGTCTGAGACTATAGCAGGCATTCTCATTCAAACTATCACAGGAAGTCACTTGCTTCATCTTGAATGGAAAAGAAATCCTCAGCATTCACTTCCAGACCAAGACTGGCCAGTGAACAGTGACCTGGGATCCCTGAATCTTTTTACAGGAACAGCCTACACAGCATTTGGGAGACCCTTGACCAGCCACATAAGCCAGGTTATACATACTAGTAGATCTTGATGGTGTGACTTTATTAGATAAAGGGATGGGGATGGATTCTTGCCATTAACTCATGTCAGTTTAAAGATTTTTTAAAACTATGTTTTGCTAAATCCTCTAGAAAAGTAACATAGCTCCCACCCTCCAGAGTCAGCACAGAATTTAAAAAGTGCCCTTCAGGCTTATGTTGCTTTTTAAAATAGCACTTCCTGAGTCTTTTTGGTGTTGAGTTTCACAGCACTCTTTTCTTTTTTTTTTTGTGACATGGTTTTGGGAAACAAGTCATTGGCTGTGGCTTTTAGCTTTGGACCTCCTTGCCCTCCAAGAGTAACACCAGGTTTCTAGTAGCTCATTGGTCAGTGCCACTGCCCCTTTATCTGGAGAAGTATTCCAGCTAATGAATTATGCTACTGGCCAGGTGGAAAGCATAGCTGTCACACCCAGTGCCTTCCCAGCTGTGGATTCACATGGGAAGCCAAGCTATCCTTGCAGAGGGACAGCACGATGGGGCTGGAAAACTGGTCGGCCTTCTATGTTAAAGCTACGGCTAGTGCCAGGCAGTTGTGAGACAGCAAGCAGGCTTTGGGCCTGAAATCATCCCCTGGGCCACATACTTGGACTTCCTTGGATTTGCGCTAAGCCTGTGTTGTGCTTCTTACATCCATCCTCTTGTCAGCATGTCAGCCACACTTGTCCTCGGTGTCACAGCATAGCCACATGCTTTCTTTGCATGCAGGATGTCTGGCTATCGGCCTTGATGAAAGCTACGCTGTTCTTCCAGTGGGGAAATGTAAAAAATATAACCTGACACTGACATTTGGCAGGATCTTCCAGAGAGAGGTCCTTCTAGCCTATGGTGGGGATGTGCTAGAATCATTCAGTGCTTTGGAGCCCCTAGTCAGGCCAGAGGAGAATGGAAACCTTCAGTATTGTCTGGAGCCAGGTTGTACCCAGTTACTGTAAAAGAACCTGCTGGTGCTCTGGGAAACACCTCAGCACTCTTGCTGTTGTAGCCTTGGAATCATGTGACCTCTCTTCAGCCTCGGTTTCCATGGATATTAAATGTTCCGTGGATATTTATTGAATACACTTTGTGCAAAGAGGCTTAGCTTCTGAGTGGTCACCAAGAAATAGACAGAAGATCTTGCATCACTCCTGGGGGGGGGAGGGGTTTCTCACTGTCTGTACCAGCAACAAAGACAACTGAGGAAAATCTGCAGTTTGGTTCTGTAAACTAGATTGCTCTTAGGTCTGTCTAGGATGACTTTTGTTCTCCACATGAGCAATTGGAAAACTTTCTACATCCAGTTTAAAAGACATGCTGCTGGAGATGTAGGCTCATCCTGAATCTGAGCACAGGCAGAGCCTTCCCGAAGACTCCCCTTACACTTCCTAAGGGGACCTTTGTCATCAGCGTCCAGACCCTGTGATCAACATTCACTTCTCCTTCAGCCCTTGGGGTCAAGTGTAGCGATGACTTGTGGAAATACTCTGAATGTTTCTGGGAATATTTTAAGAGTCCTCTAGGTCACTTGTAAAGTGACATTTGAATCTTCAAGAAAATTTGTGTTTCTGAAAGGTCTGAACTTTGGCATTATGCTGGAGAAGAAAAGGGTGCAGAACGGAAGAGCTGCTAACACTCAGTGTTGGGCCTCAGCTGAGAAGGCTACAGAGAATTTTCATCTATAAAGACAACTTTCTTTCCTGAGCCTCAGTTTATGCTGGTCATGTACATGTCAGCCAACCCCACAGACCCACAACTCCATGGCACAAGGACCTATTTTGTGACAGCTCTGTTCTGTAACTGGCATCTGGAGAATGATCCTTAGAAACTTCCAGAACCTGAAGGTGAAAATTGCCAGGTGGCTCTCAGAATATTTTAAAGGCTCTGGGATTCAGTAGGATTTGAATCTGGAGGGTCAATGAGGAGAGATAACATAAGCTCGGGCATGAGGAAGCATCAGGATAAAGAGCCAAGGACGGCTGAGGCAGATCCTGTAGGTCTTGCTCTTTTCAAAAGGAAGAAGACACTTTGACAACCACCTATTAGGTAATAATAGTCTCTTTTTGATAACACAAACTTCTATGTCCCCCAGAACCATCTCTAAAGTTGACATCATTGGTGAAAGCCCCAGTGTACAGGTTGAGACCTCACCCATCACACGTCCTAAGCAGAGGAACACCTCTATCACTTGAGTTAAAAGATGAGGCTTTGACTGATGCCAAATGGGTCACCTGCAATATGAGAAAGCAGGCCGCAGGGGATATAATTATGAGAAAGAATTTATTTTTATATCTGTTACTAATTTCACTTGATCGTGGAGGGAAGTTCTTTCTCTCTCTGTCGTCTCTCTGTCTCTCTCTGTCTCTCTCTGTCTCTCTGTCTCTCTCTGTCTGTCTCTCTCTCTGTCTCTCTCTCTCTCTCTCTCTGCCCCTGGATAAATGTTTTCCTTTTCACTATTGGTTAATAAAATATCCCATGGTCACTACAAGTCACAAAGGCTGAATTCCAAAACATAGTAACAGTTTGAACTATGGGTTTGGCATGAAGGAAGGGCATAATCCCTCATCCTTCTCCCTTCTCTGCTTCTTCTCCTGCTCCCCAGCCTTGTTAGCGGGGGATTTTGCCTCTCCTACCAGGCTTGACCTAGGGAATCAAGAATGAGGAAGTGGGTTATGGATGTTGGGAGATGGTGAGGGAAAATGTTTAAAACCTACACTTTCATTGATGGATACCTTTTTGAGTTCTTCTGATGTAGACAGTACTTCTCCTGGGCTACTTGAGGCCTCCTCCACCATAGCTCCTAGCTCTGTATCACTAACTGTCTCCTCAGTTTTATGGGGAGGGAATCTTTCTCATTGATTAACAAAATACCTGGCACACCAGCCTGGTGAACAGGTTCCTTCTAACACAGCATCCTCTCCAGCCACCTCAGGCTGGCTCCTGACTATAGACTGCCTCCTGCCTCTGGGGCTCATTACTTGTTTGCAATCACTGGGACCTCTTCTCTTTTCTCACTGGGTTCCCTAGATTCTATTAGTGTCTGTGTGAGCTCAGGTTTCAGATTAGGATTGAGAGAGATAACTTGGTATAAACCTCTCCAAACAATCCTCCTCACCAATCTTGCTTCTTTCTCTCCATCCCCCCTCCTTTGAGGCAAAATTCACGTAGCATGTAAAATTAGCAGCCTCTTTTTAAGACAGAGTCTCAGTCTATAGTCCAAGCTGGCCGTAACTCACAGAAATTCTCCTGCCTCAGCCTTCTGAGAACTGAGATTACAGATGTGAGCCCCCATACCTAGCTCAAATTAACCATTTAAAAATTGTTGTTAAATCTTTTAACATTTGTTTATTTATCTTATGTAGGGGTTGGATGGGTTCACCCATGTCATGGTGTGCCAGGCTACAGTACATATGTGAAGGTCAAAGGGTAAATTTCAGGCTCCTAATTAATGTCCCTTCTTGCCTTCTGTTTTCAGGGAACCCCAAAGGTGCGATGCTCACCCATGGGAACGTGGTGGCTGATTTCTCCGGCTTTCTGAAAGTGACAGAGGTGAATAAAGTAAACTTCCTATGCAGGTGTTTCTTGAGGGGACACTTCAAGTTGTACTAGCAGGGATGTCCAACCTTTGGATATTACCATATGACACTCTCGTCTTCAAGGTGTTAGACTGTATTCACAGTTATCATGAGATGAATGTAGTCAGAGGGCCACAGCCTGGATGTGCTTAGAGTTGTGTTTTGTTGTTGTCAGTCTTTTAGAGGTTTGTAATTTGGTAGCTGCTTGCAGACAGGAGTTTCTGTCTTCAATAGATCAACTCCACTTTTACAACACTTTTAACCCCAATACTGGTTTTGTTTTGTTTTCGTGGTTGGGGTCTCACTATGTATTCCAGGCTGGCCTCAAATACCCAATCCTCTTGCCTCAGTTTCCCAGATGTTGGGATTAGAGGCATGAGCCATCTGACCAGCTTTCAATCCCAATGCCAAAATGACCCTTCCCCCAACATTCACTTGGTATCTAAAAGCTCTAAGAGCCCAGGGTGGGGGTGGGGAGCATGTAAACCTGCTTATCATTTTTCACTTCAAAAATGAGCTCTGTGAGCCCCTGTGTGTGCCTTTGTTTCAAGAGTAAGCCTCGATGACTTGTGTCTCAAGCAGGCCAGGGTTTAATTTGGTCGTTTTGTGTTTAAGGACTACTAGAGTCTGAGAAACAGCGGCAGCTGCTAATTGTAAGGCTGGGCTTAAAGGTAACTGTAAAGTCCCAACAGCTTGCTTTCTTGGTCTGACAAAAGCATGTTAGTGTTTATAACCAGCTAAGAAAGGAAGAGCTGTCCCAAGGGTGGTAAGTATGTGCTACGGGGTCCTTCAGGAAAAAGGATGCCAGCCAGGCCCTTTCTCCACTGTGAAAACAATCTACACGGGGCTGTGGAGCATATACTCCAAAAACCCTGAGATGCGTTGGTGGGAAACTGAGGCATGATTGCTGGTTGAGATCAGGTTTTGAGCCATGGCAGGATCCCAAAGTTTGTTCAAGTTGGTTCAGAAGGCAAAGAGGGAGTGAGGACTTCTATGACAAGACAGAGATCAGTTAGCTCCTACTAAGGAAATCCCCATGCTTTGCTGGCCAGAACAGTCCATGTCTCTGGGATCAGTCCCATCTGGGAGTCAGATATGGGCTAGTGCCCAGCTTGTGTGTTCTCCTTTAAGGAAGGCCCCCACTTCCCAGCTGTGGCTTGGGAGGCTGTGCCTGGCCACCTGTTTGTGGCTTGCCCTTTTTTCCCCTGTCACTTCCCATAACTCAGCCCAGCTGGCACAGATGAGACAAAGGACTGTCTGAGCCACTTTTTCTACAAGGCCTGGAAAATGCCATCCAGTCAAGACCAGTCTCTGCTCGGGTGGCCCAGGGAGACTGCAGCAGATGTTTCAGGAAGGATGGGGAGGGGAGAGAGTCAGGCTGGCGCCAACACCAACAGACAGACTGACTACAAGTGAGGTGCAGGCCATCCTGAGAGGAGACTTCCCTGCGGAGCCTGGCTCTGCTGGTTTATGTGTGCTTCATGTGGCTCTTTGCTTCTGCAGATAACCTACACCCACTGGCTCTGCAGCCCCCCTCTCTCTCTCTCTCTCTCTCTCTCTCTCTCTCTCTCTCTCTCTCCTCCTCCTCCTTCCTCTCCCTCTCCCCCTCTCCCTCCTCCACCTTTCCTCCCCACCTCCTCCTCTCTCTCATTATTTTCTCCTCTCATCTCACCTCTCTCTGTCCTCCCCCTCCCCCACTCCCTGTCCACCCCTCCCCCAGGACCATTTTTCTCTTTATTGTTTTATGACTCTCTCGTTGTCTTCCTGTCAGTGTTTCTTTCCTTTCTGTCTCCCATGCCCATCACCTGCAGAAAGTGATCTTTCCGAGACAGGACGATGTGCTCATCTCCTTCCTGCCTCTGGCTCACATGTTTGAGAGAGTGATCCAGGTAAGACGCCTGCCTGGCTGACTGGGACTTGCCTGGGCTCCTTGTGCTTTCTTGCAGAGTCAGTGGGCTCCCACTTGTGCGGATGTGCACTTTTCCTATTTGCCTTTAGCACACATGTTTGAGCGAATGGTGCAGGTAAGGCCCTGGCATCAGGGAGGCACCCTCTGTGCCAAGAACCTTCACTTAGAACAGGGCATCACTTGTCACTACTGGTGTGAAGTAGGGCTAAATATTCCATCCTTAGAAGGTAGCACAAGGGGCCAGAGGGATCTGCGGACCTTGGCCACCCTACCTGTCCTTCCTAGGAGAGGCACTTCAGGAAACACACAGACCACCCACCCTACCTTGCTCCTAGACACACCTCAGCCAGGCGAGGGACTGGTTGGTGGCATTATGCTCCAAGAACATTACAGATTTGCAGAAGTGCTCTGTAACAGATAACATGTTTCTGTTCCATGACTTACAAACTCCTAGAAGACAGAATAAAGCAGTAACATTGAGGCATTGAACTGTTACAGCTCCTAGGGCTGTAGACCTTGACTGTGTAAAATTGGTCCTGAAACAGGTCTTGTGGGAATATAGAGAGGGCAAAGGCAGGCATCCATATAGGATGGTGGAGTCCAAGACTTTTCCATGCACATGTCACTCAAAGGACAAACCTGTGAATAAAATACATCTTCCAAATACATTTCTGCTTTGTCTAGAGGGGAGATCTGCTATCAAGGGGCTTGCTTTCCATCTCTCTGGGCCTGGATTAGAATGTCAGTCATTGTTAGCTAGTTTTATTCAGCTGGGCAAGTCACTTCACTTGGCATTCCTCTCCCACCAATGGTCATGCTAGAAATACCGCCTTCCTTAAAAGGCTGTCCTGGGTGTTAAAGAACAGAGTGCATATAAGGTTCCTTGTGTGCTTCTGGACTCATAGGAGCCAACCAGGAGCCCTTGGTCTCCTGCCAGCTCTAGTACCCAAGGAGAATGGCACATCATGTCACAGTTGTAGAGATGTGCCTGGGTACATGTCACAGTTGCAGAGATGTGCAGCATCTCTAGGGACCTGGAGAAGACCCATTTATAGAGTGTGGATAACAGAACATTTCATAGACCTGAGTTTCTAGGGTGGGAGTGGGATTGGCTCATGCCTAGGGTTAGAGTGGCTGTGAAAGGGCAGACACCACCAAGAATGGCTACTTCAGCATCATTCCACTTGGCCTTCTCCTTAGGCCCTGCTGGGACTAGTGCAATGGTTGTAGATGGGTGGGTCATTTTCTTGCCACTCTCTAATGTCTTATGGCAGCAGCCAGGGTTGGGTGGAGTCTTGGGTGTTCTCCAGGGATGGCAACAATTTGGATAGCTCTGGCCTGTAGCCAGGAGGACCCACCCTAAATGACTCCCACATTCTTATCCTCTCTCTCCTTTCAGTCTGTTGTCTACTGCCATGGAGGCCGAGTGGGCTTTTTCCAGGGAGACATCCGCCTCCTCTCAGATGACATGAAGGCTCTCCGTCCCACCATCTTCCCTGTGGTCCCACGGCTGCTGAATCGGATGTATGACAAGGTGAGTCCCACAGACTGGAAAGCTTCATGTTCTCTGGTATGGACAGAGTCTGGGGTCCCAAGGAGGCTTTCCTTCCCTCCAACCCAGGTCTGAAAGGAAGCCTCCTTTCTTATGTTCCCTGATACCTCCCTGTGGTTCTTTTTCTTGTTTTCTTCAGCCTCTAAAACTCTGGCTAAAGAGTCCTGAACTTCCCTCCCCTCTTTTTCCCTATCCTCCCTTCCCCTCCTTTCCCCATCTCCAAAATGTTCTTGGCCCTTGATAGTGCTAACCTTCAGCTTCATGCCACAAACCCAGTGAGCTCTCCCAAGGTTACACTGGAGCATGGCTCCTCTGCTGGCTAGTCTGGATCCTCTTCCTGGAGGATGTGTTTAGAAGCAAGATAGTCAGGCCCTGAGAGCTGTCTCCTACTTGTGCCCCTCAGATCTTCTACCAGGCAGACACTTCATTAAAGCGCTGGCTCCTGGAGTTTGCAGCAAAACGAAAGCAGGCTGAGGTCCGGAGTGGAATCATCAGAAACAATAGTATCTGGGATGAACTCTTCTTTAATAAGATTCAGGTAAAGAAATGAGGCTGAGAGTCTAGAGTAACTCTGTGCCCGGTGGGTGATAGCATGGGAGAAATGGAGAAGATTATGTCAATGGCCTGCAATATGTTAAAAAAATAACTCTTGTGCTC